ATTCCCCAGCGCTGTTCCCATCCCCCAATTCCCCAATAAAAATCTTAAAAAAAAAAAAGAAAGAATCCCCCTGAATAGTCTAGTACTCACCTGGCACTATACATAATTATTACCATATTATTGAATATATTCCCTGTGCTTTAGTTGACATCCCCACAGTTATTTTGTTTTTGTTTTTTTTAATTAAAGTTTATTGGGGTGACAACGGTCAGTAAAGTTACATAGGTTTCAGGTGTACAATTCTGTAATACATCCCCATGACTATTTTGTAACTATCAGTTCGTATTTCTTAATCCAGTCACCTTTTTCACCCTGCCCCAAAACCCCACTCATCTATCACCCCAACAAATCTAGTACCAATATGAACCATACATAGTTATTACACAATTTTTTACTATATTCCTTGTGCTATACCCTACATCCCCATGATTACTGTGTAACAGCAAATTTGTACATCTTAATCCCTTCCCCTTTTTCACTCACCCCCAACCCCCTCCCACTTGGCAATCATCAATAATATGTTCTCTGTATCTATGTATTTATTTCTATTTTGTTTATTTTGTTCTTTAGATTCCACATGTAAGCAAAATCACATTGCATCTGTCTTTTTCTGTCTGACACACCCACCACTCAGCACAAACCACCCAGGTCCATCCATGCCTCTGCAAGAACCCATTCCCTTCCATGGCTGAGGAATATTCCATTGTATGTATGTACCACCTCATCTTTACCCATTCTTCCATCGACAGACACACAGGCTACCTCCACATTTAACCATTGTAAACAATGCTGCAATGAACATTTGGATGCACACATTCCCTCGAAGTAGTGTTTGGGTTTCTTCAGATGTATACCCAGAAGTGAGATTACTGGGTCTTTCTTTGTCTCTTGTTATAACCTTTGTTTTAAAGTCTATTTTTTCTGGTATAAGTATTGCTACTCCAGCTTTTTTGTTGTGGTTGTTGTTTTCATTTCCCTTTTCATGAAATATCTTTTTCCACTCCTTTACTTTCAATCTGTGTGTGTCTTTTGATCTGAAACGAGTCTCTTGTAGACAATGTATGTCAGGATCTTCTTTTCTTATCCTTTCAGTTCTCCTATATCATTTTTAAAAAGTTCTCCTATATCTTTTGAGTGGAGCATTTAATCCATTAACATTTAAAGTAGTTGCAGACAGATATGTAGCTATTGCCATTTTATTATTTATAATTTTGATATTTTTTTATCTTAAAGAAGTCCCTCTAACATTCCTTGCAATACTGGTTTGGTGGTAATGAATTCCTTTAGCTTTTTTTTTGGTCTGGGAAGCTCTTTATCTGTCCTTTGATTCTAAATGATAGCCTTGCTGGGTAGAGTAGTCTTGGTTGTAGGTCCTTGCTTTTCATCATTTTGAATTTTTTGTTTCAATCTCTTTGGCCTGCAAAGTTTCTGTTGAGAAATCACCTGAAAATCTTATGGGAGCTTCTTTATAAATTACTAGTTGCCTTTCTCTTGCTGCTTTTAGGATTCTCTCTTTGTCTTTATCCTTTGCCATATTGATTATAATGTGTCTTGGTGTGGGCCTGTTTGGGTTCATCCTGTTTGGGACTCTCTGCACTTCTTGGACTTGCATGTATATTTCCATTGTGAGGTTAGGAAAGTTTTCAGTCATTATTTCTTCAGATATGTTCATAATCCCTTGCTTTCTCTCTTCTCCTTCAGGTACCCTTATGATGTGAATGTTTCTATGCTTGATATTGTTCCAGGGGTCTCTTAAACTATTCTCATTTTGTTTGGATTCTTTTTTCTTTTTGCTGTTCCAATTGAATGTTTTCTGCTACCTTGCCTTCCAAATCACTGATTTGATCCTCTACTTCATCTACTCTGCTGGTAATTCCTTCTAGTACATTCTTCATTTCAGTTATTGTATTCTTTGCTTCTGGCTGGTTCTTTTTATGGTTTTAATGTCCTTTTTTATGCTTGCTATCTATTTGTTGAAGTTCTCATTGAGTTCTTTGAGCATTCTTAAAACCATTGTTTTGAACTCTGTATCTGGTAGGTTGCTTGCATCCATTTTGTTTAGTTCTTTTTCTGGAGTTTTCTCCTGTTCTTTCATTTGGGATGTATTTCTTTGTTTTCTCATTTTGGCTGCCTCCCTGTGTTTGTTTCTGTGTATTAGGTAGAGCTGCTATGTGTTCCAGTCTTAATGAGTGGTTATAAATAGTAGATGTCCTATAGGGCCCAGTGGCACAGTCTCCATGGTCACCTGAGCTTGATGCTCCAAGTGTATCCCTTGTGTGTGCCCACCTAATGTAGTTGAGACTTGGCTGCTGTTTGCACGTCAGTGGGAAGGACTGACCCTCAGGATGATGGTTGTGAAGTCTGGCCATGACTACAATGGAGGAGCTGGTGTGCTAGGTTGTGCTAGGTCTGACCCTATGGAGCAGGATTTACTTTAGAAAGGCTCTGGTGCCTTCCCAGTCTGCCCTTTGGGTATGTTGTCTGCGGAGGCAGACAGGTGGTGCTCTGGCTCAATCTGAAGTCGGGCACTGGGCATGATGACAGGGGTGTGGGGCAGAGCGGCTGTTGCAGGCCAAGTTAGCAGCAACATGTGCCCTGCTTGGGGCCACCTGGCATGAGTCACAAAGAAATCCACAGATGGCAGCCACCCACGATGTGTTTGGAGGTGCCTTGAGAGGCCAAGCCATGAACCAAGCTGGTTGCTGCCAGTGCAGGACTTGGGGCTGCTCAGCAAGAGGTACAGGGCTTGCCAAGGCCAGATGTAGCTTGTTTGGGTTTTGTAAACTTTTGAGAGATTTTAAGATTAAGAAACTCACAGTATGAGCCAAGACAGGCCATTTGTATGGAAAAGCTGTTGGAAGTGGCTTGAGTGGGTCCACAAGATGGATGGGGTGGGATCCCAGGGAATTACCAGGGTGGGGCAAACAATGTTAGCCAGGTTGATAGACATCCAGATATGGTGGTCACCTGCATCTGCATGCTGGGAGAGGGAAGGGCTCAGAAAAGGAACAATGCCGTCTGCCAACACTTCTGGGGGAAAGCTGCCCCTCTAGCTTTCGTCCTAGAGCCAGAAAATTCAGTTCCTCCCCATATGTCCCTGGCACCTTTCCCACTGCTATCCCAGCACTGGAGCTCAGAACAAGTGAGTTCATCAGTGAGTAAGTCCATGAGTGGGCCCTTTAAGTGGAACGCTTGGGATTCTATCTGCCCTCATCTCACTCAGCCACAATCTCCGCTGGTTTTCACAGCCAGAAGTTGTTAGGACTTCTCTTCCCAGCCAGGACCCCTGGGCTGGGGCCCCTCACTCCTTAGGGAATACCTCTGCAGCTGACAGCCCTCCCAATTTTTAACTGCCACACACACAGGTGTGGGACCAGCCCATTCCACATCTCTGCCCCTCCTGCAAGTTTTGATGTGGCTTCTTCTGTATATCCCTAGTTGTAGGACTTCTGTTCAGCTAGACTTCAGGAGATTCTCAGTGATGGTTGTTCTCTAGTTTAGTTGTAATTTTGATGTGTTCATGAGAGGAGGCAAGCACAGTGTTTACCTACTCCACCATCTTGACTGGAAATTCACATTGTATTCTTTAAATATGTATAATTATGTTTGTCAATTATTCCCAATTCTCAATAAAAAGATAAAATGAAATAATTAACATAGAAAGGCCTTGGCAAAATACTCCTTGATAGGGAATGGATATCCTAATATCCTAAGTGGTCACTCTGATGTCTCCTGGTCCAAACCCCCAACACACACAAACATAGAACTCACTGCAGTCATCGATCTGCTCAACAGTGAATAAAGCACAACTGTTTCAAGAATTGAGTCTTTACCACTAGAGAACCCTGGGTTCAAATACAAGTTCTGCCACTTCCTTATGTGCAACCACTGTGGGGCTCTTTCTCTTGGGAGACTCACATTTTTTTGTACCCAGAAAACATTACAGTTCCTTCATTACAAAGCTGCTGAGAGCATAAAATGATGTACAACTGTCAAATCAAGAGGTCAACAAATGTTAGTGTTAGTAATATAATTATTTTTACCAATCTCACCTTATTAAAATTATTTAATATTTATAATTTATATATTTTATTTATACAAAACATATTTTTATTATAATTAATTATTATGGTTGTTAATAATTATAATTATTAATTCACTGTTATGAACAGAATGTTTGTGTGCCCTCAAAATTCATGTATTGAAGCCCATACATGTATGTATGTGAATGTATTTGAGATAGGGCCTGTAAGGAGTTAATAAAGGTTAAATGAGATCATAAGGGCAGGTGCCTAATTCCATAGGGCTGATGCACTTATAAGAAGAGGAAGAGACACAAGAGCACCCTCTCTCTGACATCTAAGGACACCGTGAGAAGACCGCTGTCCACAAGCCAGGAAGAGAACCCTCACCAGGAATAGAATAAACTGGTATCTTTATCTTAGATTTCCCAGCCTCCAGAACTGTGAGACAATAAATTTCTGTTGTTTAAGTCACACAATTTGTTGTATTTTATCATGACAATCTGGGAAGATGCAGACAGTCATTAACAGGGAGATCTCAACTTTACAAAGTAAGGCCTTCATTCATGTAAATAGTACTAAAGAATAGGGAAAGAATACTAAAAGTGATTGGGGTTCCCACCATTGATTTCCATAAGTTCATGGGAGAAGAACCCAGCTAGTCATGGGATGGGAAGAAGCTGGACAGTCAGCCTTTAACATAAGATCTTAGCAGCTGCATTATAAGTGGGTGCTTTGAGGTGATGAGTGGGATTGAGGGCCACTGAGACCACACCAGCAGCCCACTATGTGGTCACCACTTTGGCCTGACTCCAGCTCTGCTGAGCACTTTAACCAAAGCCATTCGCACCTCCTGGTTCCTCAGACTGTAGATGAGGGGGTTAAGCATTGGGGTGACTAGGCTGTAGAAGAGGGAGGCCACGTTGTCCTGCTGTGGGCTGTGGTAGGCACCTGGTACCATGTACATGAACACGGCTGCACCATAAAAGAGCCCCACGACTGTGATGTGTGAGGAGCATGTGGTGAAAGCCTTGTTTCGGGCCTCCTCTGAACGCATGTGTAGAACAGCCCCCAACACATGGCCGTAAGAGGTGACAATAAGGGAAAGGGGGAGAACAAGGATCAGCACCCCAGAGACTGACAGTGCCAACTCATAGGCAGAAGTGTCTGCACAGGAGAGCTTTAGTAGGGCTGGCACTTCGCAGAAGAAGTGGTCTACAATGCGGGAGGCACAGTAGGAGAACTGCAGAGTGATGGAGGTCTGAATGGAGGCATTGAGCACACCTGCCAGCCAGGAACAGCCCACCATGAGTAGGCACACCTGGTGCCTCATAAGTACAGGATACTGCAGGGGGTGGCACACAGCAACATAACGGTCATAGGACATGAGGGCCAACAGGATGCCCTCAGCTACACCCATCATTGTAAGGAAGAATATTTGAGCTGCGCACCCCCCGAAGGAGATGGAACCTTCTTCCTGCAGGAAGTCTGATGCCATCTTGGGGATGGTAACGAGGGGGAATCCAACATCAAACAAGGAAAGTTGACTGAGCATAAAGTACATGGGTGTGTGGAGCCGGGAGTCCATGCAGATCAGGAAGAGCAGGACAGTGTTGCTCAGAAGGCCCATGATAAACATGGCAGCCACCAGGGGGAAGAGTAGCTGAGGTGACCCTGAGCGACTGAAGAGGCTCACCAAAAGGAAGTCAGAGGTCACTGATTGATTCACATCCCCCATGTTTCACATGACATACCTTTGCTGCAGGAAGAACAGGAGACCAATGGAAGAAGCTTGAGTGGGAATGGCACATAAATTTAATCCTACCTGCCAATGACCATCTATTGGTAGTGGCTGCCTAGAGTGTCATCTTGAGAAGAGTTATGAGGTCACAATTAGAATCAGTAGGGAGGAAAGCCATAATCAGTAATACTTGTCATAAGCATGGGATGGGAAAGCAGTAACTTGCATCTCTGAATAAGATACTTGGCCATACCCTAGTCAAGAGCTTCTCACTGGCTCTTGTCCAAATTTTGAGGTCCAAGTCAAAGACTTTAACATAGTTCCAGTAGAACATTTCAATAGCCCTCATCTCAGTGGTCCTAGGGCCAAAACAGAGGTGAGATTAAAAAAGGCTGGGAGGTGAAATAGGGGATGATGGAGCTGAAGCAACAATCTAAGCAAGAAAACAGAGAGGTGGACCTTGGTCCAAATACCTGGATGAGAAATTGGAGCAAAGAGAAATGTATTATGAGCCAGCACAAGAGTCAAATTGAAGAAGTGAATCTAGGGAATCTGAGCCATAGAGGCACTTAGGTCCATGTAATATCAAATAACCTAGGGTTAGATGAGTGGGACAGTTGTCAGTGAGCTCAGCTATTATATTATTGGTGACTTCATTGCATTGGATGGAGGAGTAGCAACCTGTGGGTAATCTGACCCAATTTCAAGGACTAGAGTAAGGCACCAGGCCTGGAAGATTGTGAGTCTCTAGTAAATATTGCCTGAGTGAATGAGGTGAACAAAAAAGATGGCCATGAACCAAAAGGAGCTGCACACCTAAAGCAGGGATACTTAGTTCCCTTGGCAACCTCCAAGCACCCAGGTAAACCCAGATTGCCCTGGAATACCATACACCACACACAATTCCAACAGTGGATAGTGCAGAAAATGGGAATGTTTATTCCCAACTGCAGGTAGCTAGAGAAGCAGCAAGACAGGTTATTTAAATGCAAGTGGATTTTATTGAGGTCCTCACTGGAGCTCTTTGTCCTAAGGCTATCATCTTTACTGAGACGACCTTTAAGGCTGTCTTTAATTTTTCACCATTCTGATTTTTCTATCACATTCAAGCCCCCAACCTATTGTTCACACATGCATTCAACAAAATTTGTCACATCATGGGCTGGGCATAAGACATTCAAAGGTGAATCACTAAGGCAAGGTTCCCACTGCCCTGGACCCCACAAACTCCATCAGGGTACAAATGACAAACAAGGAGATAAATGAATAAGATCTTTGTGAAAGAGGGAAGTACAGTGGGGGAAGTTTGTAGAATTTTCTGTAGGAAATAGCTGTCCAGCTCCACAGGACATGGTCAAGGAGGCCTCTTGGGACAGATGACAGATACCCTCAGTATCTGAAGAGATTCAGTGAGAGGGATGTGGTAGAAAAAAATTGCTTTCTGACACTGGGAGGTGGAAGTTAATGAGCCTGGCTGTGTGGTTCACCCTAACAAAGAATTTTCTAACAGTGAAATCCAACCCAAAATGGAATGGGCGGCCTCATTGGTGGCATTTTCCAAAGTCGTTCAATGACATAAAAGAGTAAGATGACTTAGTCCTGTGGTTATAAAATTTAGAGTTTGAGGGAAAGTGAACACTGTTCACATCATTTCAGAATAGTCTGATCAGCAATGTAATAGATACATGCATAATGCTTTGGATACTCAGGAAACGAACCCCTTTCTGGTGTCAGGTAAAGAATGGCTTCGCAGAGGAGGTGGCATTGTAACTGAGCTTTGCAGTTCAGGTAGGAGTTTTCCAGGCAGCTAGAGGAGGGAAAGTTGTTCCAGGCAGAAGAAATTTAGCATATGGGCTGTATGGATTGGTGGTTAGGAGAGTATACCCAAGAGTAAGATTAAAACGAGCTTGGATCCCAGCTAAGTATTTTGTAACAACATGACCTTGGGTAGCTACTCAACCTCAGTTTCTTCATCCATAAAATGGGTGGCAGTAATCTGGGTCACTGGCAGTGTTGTGAAGATTAAACGAAAGGATAAATGTTAAGAGTTTAGTGCCTGCCATGTGGCAAGTGCTCAATAAATTGTAAGTTATCATACATATAATTATTAAATATAATATATCTATAAATTGTATAATTATAGAATTATTACTAATTCTCTTGGCAAAAGCATTAAAGATCACTGGTTAGATGATCAGTGCTTAGCACAATGCCAGGCACATAGGACATTCTCATCATTGTTGGCTTCTTTTGTTATTACAATAGTCTCCCCTTACCTTAAGTTACCTGCAGTCAACCATGGTCTAAAACTATTGAATGGAAAATTCCAGAAATAAACAATTCCTAAGTTTTAAATTATATACCATTCTGAGTAGCATGATTAAATCTCATGCCATTCTGTTCTGTCCAGCCCAGGATGTGAATGACCTCTTTGTCCAGTGTGTCCACACTGTATATGCTATTCACCACGAGTCATTTAGTAGCACACTTTGTTATTTGATCAACTGTCCTAGTATCACAGTGCTTGTGTTCATGTAACCCTTATTTTACTTAATAATGGCCCCAAAGCGCAGGAGTAGTGATGCTGGCAATTCAGAATGCCAAAGAGAAGCCATGAAATGTTTCCTTTAAGAGAAAGTATGTATGTATGTAGAGAAAAAAATAATATGATATGATATGATATGTTATGATATAATATATAAATAAATACATTATTTGGGTACTATTTGCAGTTTCAAGCATCCCCTAGGGTCTTGGACCATATCCCTCATGGATAAGTTGGGACCACCGTGTTCAATATTATGGCCTCTTCTATGGTCAACCCTGACCATGTCTAGATCATCCTCTTTAGTGCTGCTCTGTGGTGTCCTTGTACCTCCTGGGTAGGAACTCACATACTGCTTCTCTGGTCCCTGAGATCCCTTAGCAGAGTCTCTAAATAAAAGTTCATTCATGCCCAACGCCATCGGTTTACAACAGGGTTTTTCCACCTTAGCATTATTTGGGGACAGATGAGTGTTTGCTGTGGGGAAATGTTTTGTGCATTGTACAAAGTTTAGTAGCATCCCTGGCCTCAACCCACTTAATACCAGTTGCACTCCCCTCCATCCCTAGTCATGAAAACCAAAAATGGCTCCACATATGGTCAAATATTCCTCAGAGAGGCAGAATCACCCCCTGTTGGGAACCTCTGGCTTAGAGACAGGATAATTGTGACCTGCAGGGGCTTCAATCAGCAACTTCTCTCCCAGATGTCTATTCTAAAATTGTTTAAAGCTCAGACCCAGTGAAAACCCTGGCAATATCTCACTATTTCTATGTCTTCATACAGAAAACATAAACCTAATCCTGACTGCCAACTTATAACCAACCAATCCCCAAATCACCAAGTCTTCCAGCTGGTAAAAGGGCTTTTACTGCAGACTCCTATCAAGGGTTATTTAAGTGTCCAAAGGACACTTGCTCCATTCACTCACATATCCTCTCCCTGAAAGGAGCTGATGCCATCTGAGTGCAGGCTATGCAGGAGGCACCAAGTGTTTTTCATGCTTAACACTTTAATCCTCAGGTCCTGGAGATGAATGGTGGAAATGGTTGCACAACAATGTGAATGTACTTAATGGCATCAACCGTACACCTAAAAGTGATTAAGATGGTAAATTTTGTTATGTATATTTTTATCACAATGAAAAAAGAAACACTGACTGTAGATATTATTATCTGTATTTTTTTAGATGAGAACACATAGGTTTAGAGAAGTGTAGTGACTTGTTCAGCATCACCCAGCAAAAAGTAACAGAGCTAAGATTTGAACAAAAGAGGGATCTGACTCCAAAGTCCCTGTTTTTCTGTTTGCATTCAACACACTCCCCCCACACACTGTAATAGATTTGTCACACACACACACACACACACACACACACACACACACTGTCCTGCATGCCCACAAACATACCTTTCCTTCCAGGGTGCCCAGGTTGTCCCACTGCTTATTGATCCATGTTTAAAAAAGGCACATCCCTGGATTTTTGTAGCTTCTAACCAGCAGTTCTTCTGTGCCTAGAGAGTCTGGCCATGATCTCCTTGTGTCCTGAGCTTTTAATAAACTCTTTTGCCCCAAGACCTCTTTTGGAAAAAAAAAAGTTTCCATCCAATCTTTTCCCTGTCCAATAGGCAGAGTTGGGCCAGGCCCTTTCACTGTGACCCCTAAATCAATACTTCTCATGTGGGTGGAAGAGGAGCCTCATCAGCAAGTTTCCAAGTTGTGATTTCACACTTCTTTTCCCCATTTTCCTGAGTGATGTCAAAATTTGGGTCTGGGGATCCCTTTGCTGATGCTGAATGACCAGGGGAAAGGTGCCAGCATTACTCACCTTCTTGTTGCCAATAAAACTTTCACATCTCTCCATTATGACCAGGTGTGATCTGGACCCTTGGTCACCTAATTAATCAAATGGCAGTTTGCAGGACACAGTCATTTACTGTTATTTAATCCTTATATCCAATTACCCCAGCTCAAGGATCCACAGCAGAGTTTGCTCAATAAGTAGTTATTGAATGAATACATCCTGCGAGGGAAAAAATATTTTTGTTGGAACTAATGTTATTGACCCATGGGCTAACTAACCTAAAGTCACACAGCTACTAAGAGGACAGGCTGGAATTTGAACCCCCACCTAATTCCAAATCTTAAGCACTCTCAACTCTGAATGCTGCATGTTTCTTAAAGTTAATGCTCAGCTCTTCTGCCCAGGAGTTCAGAACTGAGAAATCCTCTAGGGGGCGTGATCACTGTTGTGGATGGCCAAGCCTCAGAAGGTGAGCTGAGGATGACCCCAATCCATGCCAGACAGGTTGTTCTGGTACCAGCCCCACGACCAAGGTTAGGTGCCCATTCCTGGGTGCTTCCAACAGCTTTTATGGAAGGTCAACGGGAGTTGACCTTCAACATGGATTGAACATCAACATAGATGACTTTCTGCTGTCTAGAGGCCTGACTTCCTTGGTTTCTTGTCAATGAAGACAGGCAAGGGAAGAATAAACATTCAGCCTAACAAGACATTGCCTGTAGGTTGGCAAAGATCAAAGAGGTAGACAAAAATCCATCTTTCCATCCAAATTCCTGTATACATCCATCCCACCATATCTGTGGAAAACAACATCAGCAATTCTTCAGATCATCCTGCCACTGATATCTAATGTCTAAATGATGCCTGGGACCCCAAGATCCTCATAGGCTGGGTTCCAAGTTCTTACCCCCACTCACCAGGGTATGTGTGCAGAGTAAGAAATTTTCTCAGCACTTCCTGAGCATGTCAACCACCCTCATTCCAAGACAGACCCTGATAAAACCTCCCTGGAATACAGCATCACACACTTAACCAGTGCTGCCTCTGTGTATGCAGAGAGAGATATCATCATCTGGGGATGGAGCCTCCAAGGAGAACTGTTGCATCAGAAACCCCTCTGCATCTCCAATTCTGCTAGACAGAAAATTAGTTGCAGTGGGAGCCTAGAGCCCTTGATGCTTGGATTGTCCCTGGAGGACTGGGGAAAAACATTTACTCATCTCTCAACCACAGGAAGAATGGGCAGTACTGATTTGGATAAGTGAATGTGACTGATATCCAAGTCTTTCTGTTTAGATCTGATCAGGAGGAAGAGATGTGGGAATCCATTATAGCAAATAGACCCTATGCTCAGAAAAAATTCTGATGTCCAGAAGATTTCTCCTGAGTTAAGTGATGAGGCAGTGATAGTGGCGGGACAGCCAGGAGGCAGCTTTCCTGGGTCAGGACATTTTTTCCTTTAAATTCCATTCTCGAGGGGCTTCTAAGACTCAGGAGATGAATTGGTATAGAGACAGATTATTCTCGTGTCCATGAGTTTATTTTGTGTCCATGGACAGAGCTGGGGTAAGGGCAGAGACCAGAGAGACAGGCTACCCCTGAAGTAACCCACTGCAGGAAATCCCAGGCAAGGCCAAGGCAGAGTGAGTTTCCAACAATGCTGCTCAAACCAAAGATGAGTCAAACAGGTGGCAACAAGGTGGAACCAGGATGGAAGCAGTAATAAAAGTAACATATTAAACTATTAATTTAAAAAGTAACATATTTTAAGGAACTGATCTACAGTTGGTAACTATAAGCAAATTCCTGGTACCATGCCACCACTCTCTAGTACCAACCCCACGGCAGACATTAGTAATCCATCTCTGTGCTTTCTACCTCTGAGTCCGGATGGAGCTTCTCAACTCAGCATACCATACTGCTAGACCTTCCCAACTGGATTTGACATTTGTCATGAAATCTACTTTCCAAGCAGACTTTAGACCAGTACTCAGAGAAGTTGTGACAGTCTGGTTGGAGATAAGGAGCTTGCACCAGAAAGCAATTCAACCCGACTTCCTTCACTAAGAAAATATTGTTATGAAAGAAATGTCATTTGAATTGATCTAAAGCTTAGTGATGTTGATTTATGCCAAGGTGCTTTTCTCCTCAAGGGCCAATAATAGTTCATGGACCACATTTTAAGTAACATTACCATGGACCATGAGTTTCTTGATGGCAAAGAACCTGCTGTATTCATTTCTATATAACTGGTAGCCAAGGCACACGGAAACACCAATGTTTATTGAACAGGAAGGACCGGTGCAGGCAGAAAATTTGGAGAAAAAAAAAGATATGGAAAAGTGGGCAATGAGTGATCCTCAAAACCTAACACATTGACTTGTTTCAAAGATGGATGGATGGATGGATGAATATAGGAATGCATAGAATAAACCATGATTAAAATTATTTGTGATGAGCCATGTTGTTCTAAAGAACAGGTTAAGAGAAAAAGATGGCCAATAAAGTATTAGTATTCTAGATGTGGGCCTCAAATATTAATCCTTTGTATGCCACCTTCATACTTTTGCCATTTCCAAATGCTATCCACACTTGCATTTTCTTAATTTAGGTGTTTACTGCTTAATGTCAGTTATTCCCCAAAACCAGATGCACACAAAACTGTTCAGTAGGACCCTATATTTCATTATCTTAAACGGGAAAGCTTGTCTTATAATCAACCCCAAACTCTCAATTTCCTGAAATGTAGCTAAAAACAATAAAAGACTTATGTATCAGTAATAAATTATCATGTTAGGATATGAAATACTTAAAATGTTCCTTCCTGTTGATTGCAAAATGAACATAGTTGTTAACAGTTGTTTGGTATGAGGTCATATTTCTATTCCATTGCTTACTTTTTCAAGATTTTCTTCACTTTCTCAACTTTTGGAGGACTCACTGTAGAAAATTAACCTTTGCTTTTTCCAAAACGTGGAAAGCCCTGAGGAAACAAATTCAGGACAAGTACACTATAGCAAGGATTGACATGTTGAGTGTGATATTATAACCTCTTTCAACACCAGCAATACCTGAGACACACACTTACATTTGTTATCACTTGGGGCACTTTTTCTATACATTGTTTTATTTGAAATCTTGTATTTAGCTTGAGGTAAATATAAACTTTTCTTGTGTAACCAAAAGATACTATATTGAGAAATACACACATTTTATGAAATTTGGGCATTATTACCCAAAGACTGCATTCTACTGGGAAAAGTTTGACCAGGGAGATAGTCTGTGTAATATACCTGTGTTTTTATTTTCTTAGTTTTTTTATTTAACATTGGTTAATAACATTATATATGTTTTAGGTGTACAGCATTATAATTCAATATAATCCAACAATTTTTCTTCTGGGTATTTGTCTGAAGAATATGAAATAACTAATTCAAGAAGATACCTGCACCCCTATATTTACTGCAGCACTATATACAGTAGCCAGTATATGGAAACACTAAGTGTTCATTAATGGATGAATGAATAAAGAAGATTGGAACATATATACATACACAATGGATTGCTACTCAGCCACAAAAAAGATGAAATACTGCCATTTATGACAACATGGATCTTGAGAGTTTTTTTATTTATTTTTATTTGAAATACAACTTTATTCTGATTCTAAACGAAAAGGAATGGGAATGACAGTAACAAACAAGCTCTCCCATTGAATATTGTGACTATAGCAGTCTTATATTTGAAACTCAACAAGAAACCGACCGTGTTCCAAAACAGCTAAATATGCAGGTCCAAAAAAGGAAGTTATTTTTAATTGCCACACTCACTCCGAAGCCCATCCATCTCCTTCAGCATCCCCAAGATTAAGCACATGTTCTGCTTAGCTATGTAATAAAGTGGCAAACACGCTGCACCACTGACCTCACAGGACAGTTGCCTGTAAAACTAGACTTCTGACGCTGGGCCCCGCTTCACTTTCACAGGTCGTCACCCTCATCCGGGAGAGCGGTTGTCTGAGCAACCTCTAGGTCATGCTCATACTGTGCTGCCAAGGCGGGGTCCATGACAACCTCCGGTGGGGCGAGGGCAGGCATGGCAACGAATTCCAAGTTAGGGTCTCCGATGAGTTTTCTAGCAAGCCAGAGGAAGGGCTTTTCAAAGTTGTAGTTACTTTTGGCAGAGATGTCATAGTTCTGAAGATTCTTCTTTCGGTGGAAGACAATCGATTTTGCCTTCACTTTCCTGTCCTTAATATCCACTTTGTTGCCACACAGCACAATGGGGATGTTTTCACATACTCGTACCAGATCCCTATGCCAGTTAGGCACATTCTTGTAAGTAACTCTTGAAGTTACATCAAACATTATAATGGCACACTGGGCTTGGATGTAGTAGCCATCTCTCAGTTCACCAAATTTCTCCTGACCAGCTGTGTCCCACACGTTGAACTTAATAGGTCCCCTGTTGGTGTGGAACACGAGGGGATGGACCTCCACGCCCAAGGTAGCTATATATTTCTTCTCAAATTCACCAGTCAGATGACGTTTCACAAAGGTAGTTTTCCCAGTCCCACCATCACCAACCAATATGAGTTTGAACTGAACTTGGGGCTCTCCTTGGGCAGCCATCGTGATGTTGCTTCCAGAAACGTCTCCGGGCCCGTCTCGATCTTAAGTAAAATAAGTCAGACAGAAAAGGACAAAAACTATTTCACCTGTGTTCTGTGTTTTCTTTAATCACTCACTTTTAGTTTAGTTTAGTTTTTTTTTAAAGAATTGACTTAATTTCCTCTTTTATGCTGACAAGTCATCTTCTTTGGAAGAGATAAACCTAAAACGATGGGAATGTCTAAAAATATAAAACACCAAGTCTTCTCAGTTTTTCTAAATTTTTACTTGAAATTTTTTATTTTATTTTATTTTTGAACTTTAAAAAAATTTATTTTTTTAAATTAGTTTCAGGTATACAAAACAACATAGTGATCAGACATTTACATAACTCACGAAGTGATAACACAAACAAGTCTACTATCCACCTGACATTGTACATAGTTATTAGAACATTATTGACTATATTCCCTATGGTTCATTACACATACCCATGACTTTTTAAAATTATAGTTGTCATTCAGTATTATTTTATATTAGTTTCAGGTGTATAGCATAGTGGTTAGACATTTATATAACTGATGACATGATCCCTCCAATAAAGGCTACTACTCGTCTGACACTATACATAGTTTTTTTTTTTACAATATATTTTTTTAAGATTTTTATTGGGGAATTGGAGGGATGGGAACAGTGCTGGGGAATTGGGGAAAGGGGAACAGACAAGTTGCTGTCATTTGTTCTTCAGTCTAGTTGTGGAGGATGTTGCTTCACTGGCCCAAGTTGGCACCATCATTGCGCTCTTCTCTGGCGAGGCAGATCAGTCGCCGGCTTCTGGACGGCCGCTCACTGCGGCTGCTGGCCGCTCACGCTGGCTGCTGGCCGCTCACGCTGGCTGCTGGCTACACACGGTAGCCCATGGCAACCCACTGCCACAGGGGCTGCAGCCTACGCTGTCGCCGTCGACTCACAGCAGCCCAGCTCCAGGTCGAGCTGTTGTTCAGCATCTTAGCTGTAGAGGGCAGCGTCACTGGCCCTCATATGTGGGATCCGAACCGGGGCCCTCTGGCATCCCAAGCCAGTTCTTAACCATCGCGCCACTCGGCCGGCCCTATACATAGTTTTTATAATACTATTGACTATATTTCCCATACTGTACTTTACATCACTTTACATCACTCTCCTATATGTATCAATTTGTACTTCTTAATCCCTTCACCTTTCACACCCAGCACCACAACTCCCCTTCCATCTAGAAACCATCAGTTTGTTCTCTGTATCTGTGGGTCTGTTTCTGTTTTGTTTGTTTGTTTATTTTGTTCTTTAGATTTCACATATAAGTGAGATCATATGGTCTTTGCCTTTCTCAGTCTGACTTATTTCACTTAGCATAATACCCCCTAGGTCCATCCATGTTGTTGCAAATGGTAAGATTTCATTCTTTTTCATGACAGAGTAATATTCCATTGTATATATGTACCACAGTTTCTTTATCCAATCATCTATTGATGGGCATTTTGGTTGTTTCCATATCTTGGCTATTGTAAATAGTGCTGCAGTGAACACAAGGGTGCACATATCTTTCAAATTAGTGTTTTGTATTTCTTTGGATAAATACCCAGGAATGGGATTGCTGGGTCATAAGGTAGCTGTATTTTTAATTTTTTGAAGAACCTCTATGCTGTTTTCCATAGTGGCTGCACCAATTTGCAATCCCACCAACAGTGCAGGAGGGTTCCCTTTTCTCGACATCCTCGCCAACACTTGTTATTTGTTGTCTTTTGGGTAATAGTCATTCTAACAGGTGTGAGGTGGTATTTCATTGTGTTTTTTATTTACATTTCCTGATATTAGTGATATTGAGCATCTTTTCATGTATCTGTTGGTCATCTGTATGTCTTCTCTGGATAAATGTCTATTCGTGTCCTCTGCCCTGAGGATTGGATTGTTTTTTGTTGTTGTTGAGTTATATGAGTTATCTATATATTTTGGATATTAACCCCTTATCAGATATATCATTTGCAATATCAGATATAGTTTTTCCTATTCAGTAGGTTGCTTTTTTATGTTGATGGTTTCCTTTGGTGTGTAAACTTTTTGGTTTGATATAGTCACATTTGTTTATTTTTGCTTTTGATGCCTGGTCAATCTTATCTTAAAGTTAGCTGATTAGCAAACATATTCCATCTACTCCATTAATCCTCCTTTGCTATGAAAAATGACATAAGTTTCTGGAGGCTGGGATGTGGGCATCTTTTGGAGATGCTCATTCTGCCTACTATAAAATCTTTTCCAATAATATATTATTTGGTCACTCAAGAGCCCTTATATAAAGGAATCAAACAAGATATTTTCCAGAAGTATATCATATGAATATGAATCCTTATATAAAATATAGGAAAAATGAATTTTTAACAGTGTCCAGAATGAATGAATACATTATTTGTTTAAAATTACATACAACTACAATTTTTGGTTCAAAAAACCTAAAACTACTTGCACCTGACTCTAACCCGGGACCACAGCCTTGCTGCTCACAGAGTGGTCCTCAGACCAGGACCTCCAGCATCAACATCACCTGGGAGATTGTTTGATTCTCAGAATTTTGGGCCCACCAGGCTCTTCATAAGAACTAGAATCCTGGGTGATTCATATGCATATTGAAGTTGGAAAAGTGCTGGTCTACACTAGGTTTACTCACCTTCTCATGTTGACATTTGGCTGAGATAATTGTTTGTGTTTTGTATTGTAGGTGTTCAGCAGCCTCCCTCCAGACACTGCCAAATATCTTCAGGGGAAAAATCATCTCATGTAAAGCAGTGGCCTACAGTTTGAAAACTAGAAGCATTCTGACAGAATTCCAATCAAAAGCCCATGACCTATTAGTTTGTAACTTTGGGCAGATCAGTAAACCCCTTCAAACCCCATTTCTGCAATGGGAAATAGAATTCATAATAATACCACCTCATAGAATGGACTTTTCTAACAATTAAATCAGACATTGCTTATAAGATGCTAAGCTCAGGATATATGGAATAAAAATATATAAATGTATCTCTTATAATTAACAAATGCTTTATAAAGCACTAAATGACAGCTATTAACTTGTGATGTAAGTATAAAATTCTTAATTATTTTGACAAATGTTTCATGAAGCCAATAGTGTGGTGCCCAAGATACATATCAAAGGAAGACAGTTCTCCCCCTTATTCAAGAGCAAATAGCAATTTTATGGAGTTATCAGGTCTGTGTCCTCACCACAAGTCGATGCTTTAAGGATCAAAGGAACCTGGTCCTGACAGTTTCTTAGCCTCAGACTTTAGAAAAAATGTGAACTTGGGTTTGGGATAAGGGGGTAGGAGGATAAACCTCTAGGAAGCGGGCAAGATCCAGGACAAGGAGTCATAAAATCTAGATTCACTTGACTTATAATATGGTCTCCTGGGATCAGAGACTCATTAGGAAAAATTGCTTTTCTGTTTATTCCAGAGGCCCCGGGGGGGGGGGGGATTGTGTGCTTAGCGGTTGGAATAAGAAGAGGGAAATGTGCCTGATGAGCAGATACAGAGAGCACTGTAACGCCTCCTCTGTGCGTCCCTCAGCTTGGACCACGTTGGTGCCCAGGACCTGGGTGTTGCTGTTGAGTCCTCAGCTGGCTGTGAACTGACGCTTCACTCTTTCCTTGTGTCTCGTGTGGGGACAGAGCTTCAGTCTCCATCATGAACCTTCCAGGGAGTAATTCAGACTTCCACACAGAGGCCTCCCTCTCAGAGACCCCATCCAGGTGAGTCTGAGAGCCCAGCAGGTACTGAAGGAAAGGATCAGAGAGGTCAGAACCTGAGAACTCTTCCCTGAGTCACTGCGACCCTAATCAGCCGAGACTAGAGATCACCGTGTCTGGTTCTTGGTTAAGTAATTGATTTATAATTAATTCATTTAATATATTAATAAAGATGTATTTGTTTGAATCTGCACTACAGGGACCATAGTTGACAATTAAGTGATGGGCATAGATGTACTGTTATGTGACACTGTAGAATGAGTGAGATGCATGAAATGGTTGCTGTAAAATGAACACATGTCAGAGCAGTTTTGCGTACCAGGGAGTAGGAAAATACAGTGTTAGGTGTGGAGGCCGGTGCAGTGAAGTGAGAGCGTTTGTATGAAATTTCTGAGTTGGGGTGTATTTGAGCATGTTGTGTACTCACTGAAAAGATCCAGCCAGTAGAGGTAGAAACTACCTTGCAACAGCCATTCATGAGACATACATGGCAGTATCTTCTCTCATGCTGGGTATTTACATGAAAAAATTATTTAATAAATCTAATGAGGTATACTAAATAGTTTTACTTTGAATTATTTTATTACTGGCAAGGCCACATATATTCCTGGATTTGTTACTGTTTACTTTCTGTATTAGAACAGTAAGAATTTCTAACCTACACTCACCCTTTTCCCCAAGTACTCATGTATTCTGTATTTTTAATGAGAAATTCTGTCTTGCTCTTGGGGAATATAAACTGAGGACTGACTTACTTCTAGGCAAAGATAGGATGCTGAGAAAAAAAGTCAAAAAGTCACTGTAGCTCAATGATGGAGAAATTAAGGTCACCTATTGTATCTTAAATCTTAATGGCAAAAAGGCATCATAGTCAGTTTACATTTATGCAATGAAGACTTCACTGAGCCTGCGAATGGGGTGGAATATCTTAAAATCTATTTAAAGTTTATTTTCTACTTCGTGGGATTTTTTTAGCATAAAGGGAAGCTTATGAATGAAGAGGCTTAAACTCATCCCCTCAGCAAACTTTGTTGAATAAATGTCTGTATCAGATTCTTTGCTGCTGTCAAATATTCCCTCACTAGTTGCCTAAAACAAAGAAATACATGCTATTACACTTCTGGATGTCAGAAGCTTGAATGCATCTCGTGGGCTACTGTGAACATGTCTGCAGGGCTGGGTTCCTTCTAGAAGCTCAGGAGAGAATCTGATTCTCACCAACTCCAGTTGAATTGCTGATCACCTACATTCCTCGG